CTGAGCTGAGTCAAGAGATTGATTAGTTATTTTTTTATTTTATTATTCTTTTACTACATTTCACCTTATGTGAAAGGTCATTGTCAAGGCCAGGCCTGATCCTTGGTTCAAACCCCTTATAGGTCTTGGATAGTTTTTTTTTAGAATTTTTTATTTTTTTAGTGTAGTCCCGCTAAAACTTATACTTGGGTTTGGAAAATTTTATGTCCTTAGTTCCATCCCTTTTCTCTTCATAAATTATCTAGGTTTTATTTTTGTTCATTTATTTTTTTATTGCAAGTAGTAAAATTTACATCTAACTCTAGATTCACATAGCTTTGCATTAATTCTTTGTGTACGGTTGTGTAGGGTATTGTTAGACTCCGCCTTATCTTGCGGTTCTTTTAGAAAGATTAGAATAGTGTTACGTGTTAGACTTGTGAAGGTAGAAAGTTGTTAGAGAGTGGCTTCCTTGCTTTTTTTTTTTTTTTTTTTGAACTTCATTTTCATAGGTTGAGGGCAGCTTCACCGCACCCGAGTTTCATCTTTACTTCATTGGTGGAATCTCATCCCCTCTCCGGCTCAGCCTACGCCACACAGCGTAGGAGTTCTACAATGTCATGTTGTCGCAACATGGGTTGCTACAGGCTTTTGCCCACAGTGTGAACTAGAGAACAAGTTGGTTATCTGATTTCATCATTCTTGATTTCTAAATTCACTTGTACCAATCATGTTAAAAAAGGATCCTTGATCTATATCATTCCTTCTTATAAACACTCAATGGTCTATACTCAATTAAAACAATCATTTTGAGAATTGGTTTGGGATTGAGCTTTCTTTGCTAAGGTCATACAACGAACCTTCTAACAAGGTTTTGACAAGTAAAATGTTTAATTGAAGATTTGAGTGTTTTGTGATTGAGAATGAGATTTCTTAATATTCAGCAACTTTTCAAGAAGCTAGAAAATGATTCAGTTTGAAGAGATTTGATAGATTTGAATATCAAGATCAATCAAAAAAACAAAATCAGTTATCAAACTTATTTCAAAGAAAGCCAAATAATCATACCAAAAGGGTTTCTTGGATCCTTAGCATAGGTAGGAGCTAAACACAAAAACCAAAACCAAAAGAATAAGTCACCAAGATACCAAAGGGGTTATACAAGATTGAAAAAACTTACAAGCCAACATCAAATTCTGAACTTTGTTGATGAAATAAAAAGTGACAGCACCACCAAAGATGAAATGACTCATTGGTTTCCAAACAGGAGTAGCAGCACCTCCATATTATTTTGATGATGTGATCAATTGGATTGATTTTGGTCGGGTTGGATTGGTTGAATCGATAATCATTTGTTTGGCTCAAGATTGATGGGGTTGTGATTAAGGAAGTACACCAATTGATGCGATCAATCAGATTGCTTTGGATCAATAATTATGTTTCCGGCTCCAGATGGATGTACTTGTAATTAAGCAAGTACACCAGCAACTATAATTTCAAAGAAAAAGAGGTTTAAAACACATAAGAATCAGAATTTAATATGATGATGACATTTTTAAAAAGAAATTCATGATAAATTACTAATGGATACTCCCTAATTTCCATTTCTCCACGGTGATGATTTATCTTTGATTCATTCTTTACCTTCACATTCAATTCCAAGTCCTGTAGATCTTTATTAAAGAATAAAGAAACTCAATATCTCAGTTATTTGTTCAAATCAAACGTTCTGAAAAAATGAAAGAGATGTAAACTTACGGAGGTGTATGTGGATTGAGGTTGATAAGTTGGTAAGTTGAGAGTGAATGGCAATCAATCATGATCACTCAATCGGTGGAATTAGATTGGGTGTGAGAATTGTTGACGTGGCAAGCATGAATTCGATGTCAAAGACCAGCTTTCACAGCCATGAACCATCTGTCAGAGTCCAAATGTGGGTATCTACTATTTACAGTGTACACCCATGGGCCATGCACATAACCACAAGTATGGCTTTTTAAAATCCATAGACATTTTTACTTACATACCTTTCCAAATTTGTTTTTTGACCAAATCAAACTTATCAAATACTCAAGATTCACTCAAAGATTAACGGTTCAGTATGTCTTCTACTGATAATCAAATTTGACTCCTCAGCTAGCACAACAAAGTTTAAAATTAAAAATGGATGATTCAGCACAATTGCATCAATCCAAAAAAAGTGTTTCAAGTAAATATGCATGATTCAGCAGAGGTTCTGAGTCGGAAAAACCTGGCATTGAACCTCCAAACAACTGGTATCATTCTAAATCAATCTACCATCAAATTGATTTTAAAAATTATAATCTATTAATTACATAAGTTTTGAACCTTCCTGATTAAGTAAGTCTTTGTTCTAGAATCTCTTTTCGCGCATTAGCTAACCAGGTTTCTCTCTTGCTATAGGTTTGTTTATTTTCATTTTCATTTTGTCAATCAAACAATGAAGTGTTTAAATCAAAAATGGATGAGTCAGCAGAGGTTCTGAGTCGGAAAAACCTGGCATTGAACCTCTGCACAACTGGTATCATTCTAAGTCAATCAACCATCCAATCGATTTCAAAAACTATCATCTATTACTTACATAAGTTTTCAACCTTCCTCATTAAGTAAGGCTTCTTCTAGAATCTCTTCTGGCTCATCAGCTAACTAAGTTTTTCTCTTGCTATAGGTTTGATCATCTTGATTTTCATTTTGTCAATTAAACAATGAAGTGTTTCAATTAAATGTGGATGATTCAGCAGAGGTTCTGAGTTGGAAAAACCTGGCATTGAACCTCTGAACAACTGGTGTCATTCTAAGTCAATCAACCATCAAATCGATTTTAATAATCATCAACCATTGATCACATAAATTATCAGCCTTCTTCATTAAGTAAGTCTTCCTTCTAGAATCTCTTTTGGCTCATCGGCTAACTAAGTTTTTCTCATGCTATTGGTTTGATCATCAAGGATTTTGATATCATCAATCCAACAAAAAAGTGTTTCAATTAAATATGAAATATGTAAAAAAATCTAACTTGAAACCCCCTAATACCTACCAGACATACAAAACTTACAATACAGTACACGCATTACATATATTACATGCAGTACATACAATACCTACTAGGGCTGTGACGTTGCCCTGAACTTTCAGGGCCGGCCCTGGGGCGCTGCCCGGCCTCGGTCAAGCCCAAATGCCTTCCAAAATGGATCAGGGCCAGACAGGGCACACCCTGAGTCTGACGCCTTGTGGCCAGGCAGGGCCAGGGG